CCCGCATGGGCAACTTGGCGAGACCTCATCTCTACAATAAATCAAAAATCAGCCGGGCGTGGTAGCGCATGCCTGTAATTCCGGCTACTCGGAAGGCTGAGGCGGAAGGATCGCCGGAGCGCAGCAGGTTGAGGCTGCGGTGGCCGGGACCGGCCACTGCACTCCAGTCTGGGTGACAGAGTGAGACTCCAACTCAAAAAAAAAAGAGAAATTATAAAATAATTACAATCAAAAACACTTTTAGAAGGGCAGACCTATATTGATCAGCAACAGTGGACCCAGATCAAAATGTGACAGACAATTCCCTCATTCTAGCCCAGCCTCCTGCTTCTCTGGAGGGTAAATTTAACCATTTGGAGTTCTCACTATTATCCCCCATACCAATGGAGTATTAAGTAAGACTTGAACTTAATATAACATAGAAAATCCCCAAAGTATCTTTATTTCATCAATTTGAAGATGTTATACCACGAAAATGCTAAATCTTGATTTCATGAACTACTCCTTTGGATAAATTAAGTATCTTGTGTGGAATCTTCTTTCAGAATATGAATTATGATATAATAGGATCAGGTAAATTAATGTACACCTATGTTCCCAATGCTTCTCCTTTATAAAACCTCTTAATAATAGTTTTTTGCTCTCCAGTTTTTTATTTTTAGGAGAAGCCAAGATTATTAACATTTACACTGGATATATTCTCGAATATTCTCCAGAGTGCCAAACAAAAGGGTGACTTAGAAATCAAGCAGTTAATCTGATTAATGGAGAAGTGAGCAGAATAATTTACAAGGTGAGTGATTTGACCTGCTCATTCCATTGGAATGTTTACTTTAGTCATATAAACCTTGTCTTAATTTTTTTTTCATTTTATGCATCATTTCAGGCTGGGCAGGGTGTTCTCAAAGAATCAGGGAGAATTTAAGTGAGGCAAGAGTGAATAACAAATTCAGATTATAGCCAGGTGCAGTGGTTCATGCCAGTAATCCCAGCCACTTTGGGAGGCAGAGGCTAGAGGACTGCCTGAGTCGAGGGGTTCAAGACCAGCCTGGGTAACTTGGCAAGATCTCGTCCATGCAATAAATCAAAAAATTAGCTGTGCATGGTGGCGTGTGCCTATAGTTCCAGCTACTTGGAAGGCTGAGGTGGAAGGACCTCCTGAACCCAACAGGTCAAGGCTGTAGTGGCCGTGAGCGTGCCATTGCACTCCAGCCTGGGCAACAGAGTGAGACTCTGACTCAAAAAAAAAAAAATTCAGATTATAATTTTGGAAGAAAAAAAAAGTCATGGTCCTTGAGATTTCTTTTACACATATTTAAATGGTTGTTTTAACAGAATCATAACATCTAATGTAAGGTGTAACCTGGATTGGACCTTGACCAGAATTTTGGGTCAGAGCTATAAAGGATATAATTTAGAAAACTGGCAAAATATGGTCTCTAGCCGAGATAATGGTATTGTATCAGTGTGAATGTCCTGTACTGTACTCAAGTAAGTGAATGTCTGTGCTCTCAGGAAATATACACTCAAGAATTCAAAAGTACAGAAAACAGACACCTTCCTGTCAAGTCTACAACTTACTCTCAAATAGTTCAGAAAAAAATAATAAACACACACACACACACACACACACACACACACTGAGTATATTAAGAGAAAAACAGTAGGAGAAGCAAGGTACAATAATAACAACTAGGGAATCAGAGTAATAGGTATGGGAGAGTTTCTGTACTATTCTAACTTTTCTGAAAGTGGGAAATGATTTCCAAATAAGAAATTACAAAAAACATTTTAAGCTTATTTAATTTCATTCATAGCCGAGCTCGGTGGCTCAGCCTGTAATCCCGCGCCTTTGGGAGGCTGAGGTGAGTG